ATACTCACCTGAAAAATTGGGTAGTGGTAGTGGTTGTAATGTCATATTTGCTTGTATATTTATAGGTAAATTATTCTGAAGAACAAATATTTGTTGATTCAAATTATTAATTAATTGTTCAGAATTTCGAGCTCGCGTTTTCCACTTGATATGACTTGCCTTCCGATCCTTGAATTTATTGTAGTATCTATCAAAGAGCTGGTCTCGATTATATTCACAAATACCTAAGTCGGCCTGGCATGTATTTAGCTTTGTTTGTAAATTTCTACTATTAGTATGGCACTGTTTTAATAATAATTGTATAGCAAATTTTTCTTGAATTAATTTAGTAACCCGTCTATTTTTTTCACGATATGAGAACCACCAGCGACGGCGTTCTTTTACTTCATTATTATAAGCTATAGTCATCAAATTCAAGTCAGCTTTAGTATTATTTCGTCTTTGTTGTTCATGGGTTAACTCCTGTTGGTGAAGATCATTATTATTTTGTAGTTGAGCTTGTAAATTTGTTAACTGGGTTTGCAAATCTGTTATTCGATTTTCTGCATTAATTGCACGAGCATTTGCCCGAGGATATATTTCTAATACCAACCTTTCAAACCTATTTCCAGCATCAGAAATTATATTAATATAATCTACAATACCATTTATTGTAGGTGCTATTGTAATTGGGCTTTGAAAATATCGTCTAATATTGTCAACCTCTCGCTGAATTCTATTATTCTGAATTCTAGCTTGATTTTCGGGTAGAGATAATCTGGGAGATTCTGGTTGTTGAGCCATATCTATAGTATCATAGGAATTTTTATGCAAAATAAGTATTTTTTCATTAAGCTTGTCAATTTCATCCTGAAAAATTACTAACCGCTTTTCCAAATAGTCTATATAATTCTCTTGACTTCCAGAATCTCAAATTGTTTTTTCCAACCATTCTTTAATATCAGAAATTTTCTGTCGTAATGGATCCAGTTCTCCATCTCGAATTAAAATTTCATTTTCGAGATATTTAATGTAACTCTCTTTTAAGTCTAGATCCCATTGTAATTTACAGAATCAATTTTTTATTATC